TTTAGACGTGACGAAGTCCATCGCAGGGTCGATGCGTGGACAGCGAACTCTATTAGATAGACTCGTAAGTACACGATAACAGTCTGACTCTGGACGTGCCGCAGTAGCTGCAGAGCTTGGCGCTAAGCTTGGGGAGCTGAATGCGGGGAAGCTTCGAGCTTCGAGCTTCAAAGCTTCAAAACTTGGGCATGGCCTCGAGTTGGCTTCCACATCACTGGGCGGCCATGAAGGCGTCAGGCAGGCAGCCAGAGCAGAGGGAGGGAGGGGCATGTCAGCATTAATAGTCATCTTCACACATCACAGACCAAGGGGGGCGGAGGCATGTGAAAGGCCGTCTCCGAGAGACCGAAGAGTTTGGATTCCGGTAGCCTTCAACGGGATGCTCCACCAAGCATCGGCATCGTATCCGAGGGGAGTATCCGCACATCCTGAGGAGATCTGTTGAGCCAGTAGTCATGGTAGAGCACGAGATGCATGCCAGGCCCGGACGGAAGAAGAAAAGGTGAGACATTCATCGTAAAGCTTGCAAACTTTTGCCCCGCATCCCATCGCATGCATTCATTCATTCCACATGACCCAAGAGTTCGAGAGGGTTGTCGCTTCGAGGAAGACCATGACCCTTATGGGTCTACATCTTCTTCCTTCGGAATAGTAAAGCAGATACGAGACGAGCGACCCCTCCCTCTCAAGAGTACGGCGCTCTCTGCAAACAATCGAGGTCCGCGTTGTCCGATAGGCGCACCCGGAAACGGATGTTCGGACTTGTAGTCTCACTAGTGACGGCCGATAGAGTTTGGGCCGACTCGACAGCCGTCTCCATCGATGACGACAAGAACAGCAGCAGCAGAATCAGAGGCAGAAAGAATGGGAAGGTCAGGAGCGAAAGCGAACACCAAGGCAAAAGAAATGCGCGAGAAAGTCTGTCTACGAAAGATTGGCGTGAGTCGTGAGAACGAGAGGCATTTGTGCAGGGCAAAAGGGGCGGGACGCTCAAAGTGTCAGACCACTTTTTTTCGGACAGTCGAGATATCAGATCATGAGCTGATCCCTCCAGCCTCCACCCATCAGGTCTCCTGTTGACGACGACACACTTCCTGCACGACCTGCGCGTCCTGCATCTCATGCAACCAGGCCCTCCGTCCCTCCCTCCCTCCATCAGCTCACTCCGGCCGATTGCCCATGGAAGGCGGCGCTCTCAGACTAGGCATAGCTGCTTTGGTCTCGGCCGGATCCCTGTCGGCAGCCCGTTTGACAGCTTGAAGCTCCCCTCCAGCTTCTTCCCACAATAGATCAGCACCATGAAGCTTGCAGCCGGCCGGCCGCTCTGCTCGACAGTGAGCCCCTCTTCCGCGTAGACATGATCCAACAATGGCTGCCTTTGATGGCGTCGATTGGTTCGGATCGTCCGCCAGCGCAGGCCATCGGGCCGCTGCCCCTCTCCCTTGGTCCCCTTGCCCTTCTTGCCAAGTAGGGTCCGTCGTGTTCCTGGGTCCTTTCCGGTCGTCACCGCGAGCGGTCTGCTCACACGCATGGCGATATCTTGTAGTAGTAGGGCCTTGGTAAATCACGTTAACTGCTTGTGGTGCGGCCCAGGAGTCGCCTCCACCACATGGCCTCCGAGCTATCCAGGATCATCATCGTCATGGAATGGATCCTGGCCGTGGCTCTGGAGCCAACCACTCCTCGAGGCCCGACCACCAGATACCGCCGTTCTCGCCTCGTGCCTGATCGTCGTACCTTGGGGACGTGTATTTTGTGCTCGTATATAAAGGGGCCCCCTCCTCCAACGTTGGCCGTCCCCAGTGTCCCGACCTCCTTTCCCTTCTATCACCACTTGTGTACACGTACACACCTGTCCCCCTTCCATCCCCCCCCCCCCCGCCCCCAATCT